CACACACACACACACACACACACTCACACACACATTCACACACACTCACACTCTTCCTCTCTCTCTTCTCTTTTTTTCCTTTTATTCATTTCTCTCACTTTCTTACTGTCACTCTCTCTTTCTCTCTTTCTCTCTCCCTCTCTTTCTCTCTCTCTCTCTCTATCTCTCTCTCTCTCTCTCTCTCTCTCTCTCTAATACTCACTGTCACTCTATCGCTTTTCTGACTACCTCACATCCATATCGGTACACACAAACACAACCTTACACTGTAAACTTTATCAATGTAACAACAATGTACGCAGCTTCCATTCTTACAATCACAAACACACCTATGTGCACTCACTCAGGCACCCCCTCCCCACACGTATATACAACACACACACACACACACACACACACACACACACACACACACACACACATAAACAACACACACACACTTACACACAACCCAATAAACAAACAATCACACACTTAAAGAGAAGAGACACACATTATTCCCACTGGCACAAATCAACACAGATCAAAGCAAAGACCGTCTAAAGACAGGTTGCGTTGAATTCGGAGCGTGTGAGTAGTCTCCGAAGCATTAATCAGCATGAACACATTGGTTAAAAGATCAGTCTGCGTCGGCTGGCTGTAAGTAAGCTCTCCGCAGTCAGTTAAAAGGAGGAAGTCTGAAATAGAGGAATTCCTGGTACACCCCTCAAAACACAGATACGAGCTGGGCATTGAGGGTGAAATAGGGCACCAGTGGGAGATCCTCCATAATATTATTTTCATCGTTGAAAAGCCTTCCTCGATGAGAAACGTGTAGAATTTCATAGCTTACCTGACAAGTCGCCTACGGTCTTGAAAACTGGAAAGAAACAAACAGAAATGTCATGAATACTATTGTACCTCTATGGTGTTTATGAAAATGGTATCTTATCTATCTTATCTTATCTTACCTTATCTGATCTGATATGATCTGATCTTATCTTATCTTATTAACGTATATCTACTGAGGATAACTGAATACTCCTCAATATACAACTAGATCTACATAGCATTTGATCGTAAGGCATAAGTCCAAAATTGAGAAAAATTTCGTCGAGCGCTCGCTGAATTTGAAAAACAAAAATATTAAAGGAAACTAATGATATCGCTATAGTATCGTACATTATATTATTATATTCAATAGTTTCCAAAGAGCCCATTTAGCTTCCTGTGATGAATTCTTTTGATCCAGCAACTACAGACCCATAACCATGTTCCCAAACAAGAAACAACGAAACCAGAGAAAGGATATGTGAGGCATCGTGGTCAAGTCAGGCGCTCGTAAAAATAATGAAATAAATAAACCTGGCAATTTTTTGACTCAGCTCTTTTTATGTTCATTTAAAAACACATTTCTGATTAGATTTTACTGGAAAATGATGATTTCGGGAACAAGGATGTAAATTAGCAGCTTCTGAAGACTCTCAAGCTTTGGAATTCGCAAAACTTTTGCGGCTATGTTCTTGCTAATCTACCTCTGAAACGAGACCACCCCCACCTCTTTAAATCAGAAATATCTGGACTTCTGTTCATTATTAAATGGATACTGCCGGGGAACGAATCAAACCTACGTACACAAACCCAGAGTGATAATAATTTGATGAACGTACCTTAGTAATCTCGCCCTATTATCTTTTCATGCTTGTTTATTCAGTAGATACAAGAATACTGCTACATGACAGAGACTTTAAAATCATATTATTATCTTGATTTCGTTAAAGGACAGCACCTGACTGAATTAAATGGCACTACTGCATTGACCCCCACCCTACACATATAACTCAGCTGATACTGTCAGAATATTATGACACTTTTCTTGTTGCCGGACTGTCTAATAAGTTGATGACATTAATTTTCATGTCTCAGAGACGGCGGGGAATAGAGATATGTTTAAAAAACTGGCTCCTGCCTTTTCCACACAACATATTTTGCTACCCCCCCCCAAAAAAAAAACAACAAAACAACAACAACAACAACTCCACCTACCAGGCATAAAAGCACTGACATCACCTTGCACTGAAAAAAGACCAAAGAAAATAGTGCAATTTATTCATCTGGAGACATCAAGCTTACTTATCTACTGTAGAAGATAGCACCAATTTAAGAAATAAATTGTTGTCATAACTCAGATAAAAGGGTAGACAGAGAGAGAAAGAGAG